CACGCACACGTCCCCGAAGGCACGTATACCGAGCACATATACCCCCCCACCCCCCGTGAGCACGTACACGTCCCTGCAGGCACGAGCCGGCCTGTGCATGGGCCCCAGAGCTACAAGCACAAACGCAACAGCAAACACAGGCACAGATGCACACTTCCGAGAACCCCTGCACGTGTGAGCCCCATGCCTTCTGCTGAGGAGTCTTGGCCTTTCCCAGCCCCTCCACTCAGGCCTCCCTGGGCGGGGGGTGACTGGCTCCTGAGCTCAGCCTGCCCTCCTAGGGCCTGCCTGTGCTGAGCACCCCGCTGGTGAGCTGGGCTGGCTTGCAGCAGTGATCTGGTGAGGCGGGCTGGGCAGCCACTCATAGCTGCCCTGAACGACCTCCTGACCTCCCTCTGCCTGATCCTGGGCCATCCCTCCAGGGGATTCAAGCCCAGGTAGGGAGACAGATGTGCAGAGCTGACCGGACTCCCACCACGGGCTTCTCCAGGACCAAGGCCCTCTGCTCCCACCCCAGCATCCAGCCTCCAGGCAAGAGGGAGAGCCCCACGGAGCCCCAGCCCCTGCTCACCAGGCCGCAGTCCACGCCGCTGGCGATGGTGTGCCTCCGACGTTCCCCTCGGGCACGGAGGGCCCGCCGGGCATCCCCTGAGTCCGCCTCCAGGGCCCTGCAGGCCGCTGCACCTGGGGTGGGGAGGCATGGGCCAGGCTCACCTCCAGACCTGCCTGGCTGGGCTCTGCTGAGGTACAGCGGCTCCCACATCTCAGGTCACCCTCGAGGTCTCGGGCACCGGCCTGGCGTGGCCCACGTGTCACCTCTGTGCCAGGCTGGAGTTCGGTCCCTCTCCCCTGGCCCAGCTCCTCACACTGGCTTGGGGAGGGCCGCGCCACCAAGCCTGCCTGTTTGCCCATATACACACCCTGCCCCTACCTTGGGCCGTGGGCTCCCTGGGGCCAGGGGCCTCATCCAGTTCTTTTCTGCACCCCCCGTGCCCAGAACGTTGCTGGCACACCCGGGTCTCCAAGGCGGCTGGGTAAGGGAGGAGTGGGCAGGGGGTTCTGGTCCTGACTATTCCTCTCCCATCTGCCTGGGGCCCTGTAGGGCGGCAGGAGATGTGGGCGTGAATGACAGAAACTTAACTTTTCTCAGGATGGTGAGTGCGACAGAAAGGTAGTGCTCACAGCTGGGTATGATGGCTCACGCCTGTAATCCCAGCGTTTTCAGGCTGAGGTAGGTGGGTCACTCAAGCTCAGGAGTCCGACACCAGCCTGGACAACACGGCAAAACCCCATTTCTTCCTTCTTTCTTTCCTTTGCTTTTTTTTTTTTTTTTTTCTTTTTGAGATGAGTTTCATTGTTGTTACCCAGGCTGGAGTGCAGTGGTGTGATCTCAGCTCACTGTAGCCTCCGCCTCCCAGGCTCAAGCAATTCTCCTGCCTCAGCCTCCCGAGTAGCTGGGATTACAGGTGCACGCCACCACGCCTGGCTAGGTTTTGTATTTTTAGTAAAGACGGAGTTTCATCATATTGGTCAGGCTGGTCGCGAACTCCTGAACTCAGGTGATCCGCCTGCCTCAACCTCCCAAAGTGCTGGGATTACAGGCGTGGGCCACTGCGCCCGGCTAATTTTTGTATTTTTAGTAGAGACAGTTTCACCATGTTGGCCAGAATGGTCTCTGTCTCCTGACCTCGTGATCCCCCTGCCTCAGCCTCCCAAAGTGCTGGGATTACAGGCGTGGGCCACGGCCCGGCCCCTTTTTTTTTCTTCCCTGAGACCAGGTTTCACTCTTCTCACCCAGGCTGGAGTGCAATGACGTGATCTTGGCTCACTGCAACCTCCGCCTCCCAGGCTCAAGCAATTCTGCCTCAGCCTCCCGAGTAGCTGGGACTACAGGTGCCCGCCATCATGCCCAGCTAATTTTTTTATTTTTTAGTAGAGACGGGGTTTCACCATGTTGGCTAGGCTGGTCCTGAACTCCTGATCTCAGGTAATCTACCCACCTTGGCCTCCCAAAGTGCTGGCATTACAGGCGTGAGCCACCACACCGGGCCAGCAAAATCCCATTTCTATTAGAAATACAAAAATTAGCCAGGTGCAGTGGCACGCACCTGTGGTCCCAGCTACTTGGGAGGCTGAGGCAGGAAGACTGCTTGAGCCTGGGAGGCAGAGGTGCCACTGAGCCGAGATCGTGCCTCTGCACTCCAGGCTGGACAAAAGAGCAAAACTCCATCTCAAAAAAAAATAAAGTCTTGCTGGGCACAGTGGCTCACACCTGTAATCTCAGCGCTTTGGGAGGCTGAGGCAGGTACATCACTTGAGGTCAGGAGTTTGAGATCAGCCTGACCCAACATGGTGAAACCCCATCTCTACTGAAAATATAAAAATTAGCCGGGGGTTGGCCGGGCGCGGTGGCTCAAGCCTGTAATCCCAGCACTTTGGGAGACTGAGGCGGGTGGATCACGAGGTCAAGAGATCGAGACCATCCTGGTCAACATGGTGAAACCCCGTCTCTACTAAAAATACAAAAAATTAGCTGGGCATGGTGGCGCGTGCCTGTAATCCCAGCTACTCAGGAGGCTGAGGCAGGAGAATTGCCTGAACCCAGGAGGCGGAGGTTGCGGTGAGCCGAGATCGCGCCATTGCACTCCAGCCTGGGTAACAAGAGTGAAACTCCGTCAAAAAAAAAAAAAAAAAAAATTAGCCGGGGGCTAGGTGTGGTTGCTCACGCCGGTAATCCCAGCACTTTGGGAGGCCGAGGCAGGCAGATCACGAGGTCAGGAGTTCAAAACCAGCCTGGCCAATATGGTGAAACCCCCTCTCTACCAAAAGAATAAAAATTAGCTGGGTGTGATGACGAACATCTGTAGGCCCAGCTACTTGGGAGGCTGAGGCAGGACAATCGCTCGAACCTGGGAGGCGGAGGCTGCAGTGAGCCAAGATCACGCCTGGTGACACAGCAAGACTCCGTCTCAAAAGTTAGCCAGGTGTGGTGGCACACGCCTGTCATCCCAGCTACTCTGGAGGCTGAGGCAGGAGAATCGCATGGACTTGGGAGGTGGAGGTTGCAGTGAGCCGAGATCATGCCACTGCACTCTAGCCTGAGCAACAAGAGCAAAACTCCATCTCAAAAAAAAGAAAAAAAAAAAGTGGTCAGGCTCAGTGGCTCACACGTATAAACCCAGCACTTTGGGAGGCCTAGGCAGGCAGATCACGAGGTCAGGAGTTTGAGACCAGCCTGACCAACATGGTGAAGCCCCGCCTCTACTAAAAATACAAAAATTAGCCAGGTATGGTGGCACACGCCTGTAATCCCAGCTACTCCGGCGGCTGAGGCAGGACTATCACTTGAGCCCAGGAGGGAGAGGTTGCAGGGAGCCGAGTTTCACTTCACTGCACTGCACTCCAGCCTGGGTGACAGAGTCAGACTCTGTCTCAAAAAAAAAAAAAAAAAAAAACCCAGGCATCTGTGATAGGCCAGGCCGTGCACACCAGCGACAAGGTGGATGTGTCCTGGTGTTCCTGGACACCTGCTCTGAAGCTGACCTGAGGGCTTCCCCTGGGGGCAGCAAGAGCATCGTGCTGGTGCCATCCAGCCCAGCTTCCCGGTGAGGGAGCACGTGCCCCTTCCCCAGTCTACAGGAGACGTGGGTACCGGTGTGGAGGAGGGCACCCTCCTTCAGCCTCCAGCTGTAGCCCCAGCACCAGACACATCCCTGGAGGCCATACTCCCGGTACCCGGTGAGGTAAAAACTGGGCCCAGGTAGGCACGGCAGAAAGCCTGGCTCCACGAAGGCCCAAGTTCGCGCTCCAGCCTTCGGTGCTGAGCGGTGGCAGCTCTGGGGCAAGACAGTGGGAGTCACACAGCCTCCAGGAGGTGGGGGCGAGAGCATAATGACAGAGGGAGGCTGAGGAGGAAGCCCTAGGACGCCTGGCCTGGTCTGTGCAATCAAGTCCACAGAGCAGCTCCAGGGTCCCCAGATGACAGCATGGTGGGTGTCGGGCTGGACGGCCTCTAGGTGGGGGCGGCCCTGCCCCTCCAGGGCCCTGAGCCAGCAGGCCACACCTCCAGGGCCTGGGCCAGCCTGGAGCAAACATGCAGTCCCAGGTAGGAACAAGGAAAGAGACCCTGAACTTCTGGGCTTCGGGCTTGGAAGGCTGTGTGTGTCGAGAGGCATTCTGGGAGTTGGGGTGACCTCAAAGCTCCAGATTTGGCACCCCAAAAGTCAGCTGTGTCCATCAAACATGCCACGCCACTTGTCTGGCTCTGTTTGCCTGTGAAAGGGCAACAGCTAGAGCCCTAGCCACGTGACCTTCAGAGAGGTGAGTTACGTGACCCAGGGCCACGTGGGGCATCAGAGCTCAGGCTTCCAGACCCCGGGCCCCGCCACTGTGTGCGATCCATGGTGGATTTCAAACTGCGTGGCCACATGATGACACTGACCCTGCTGTGGAGCCAGCTACCCTCCAAAGCCTCCTCACCACAGAACGTGGGGTCCGCCAGCCTGGTACGGCTGCTGGATCAGTTCACCAGGGAGGCCAGGGCCACTGTGGCCACAAACACCAGCTGCAGGGCTGGAAGATATGGCTGAGTCGGGGGCGCGGTCCAGGAAGGGTGGCGGAGCAGTGGGGACCTACAGCCGCTGCAGGTGGGCAGGCTCACCTGGCTGAACAGGTGCACATGCTGAATGGGCTGTGGGGCCTGGGGCTCCTCTGGGAGCCTGGCCCACACCCCCAGCCATAATGCAGGTCCTGTTCCCAAGGCAGGCACAGGGTGGGGGGAGACAGGGGCCCATTCAGCAATCTCGTCACTGCCAACTGGACCGGAAGTTGGGAGGAGTCTGCCAGCCGTCCCCAGGGACTACAGCCTGTGCCCCTCCGTGGCGTCTGCCACGGGACAGCCCTACTGGGATGCAGGAGACTCACCCATGCCCCTGCCCATCCTGGCAACAGGGCCAGGTCCTCTGGGGCCACCTGCCTCCCTGGACCTCAGTGGGGTCAGTGGGCCCGGACCCCCTGGCTGAGAAGGGAGACCCTCTCTCTGAGAGGGAGGCACCTCTGCCAGAGAGACAAGGAGGCTGAGGGCCCAGGTGTCCCCAGGTGCAGAAAAGGTACTGGGGGTGGGGAGCCCAAGCTCAGGCTTGGCACAGCGTGGGCTCCCTGTGGGTTTTCTGAGTCACCTGCCACCCACCCCCGACCCCACCCCAACCCCGCCCCTGTTGGCCTTAAGCTGTGGCGGGAGAGCGGCTGGCTTGCCTCCCTAACCCCTGGGCTTGCGTCAACAGGCATGAAGCCCCTTTCCCTCCAGGCCCACGAAGACCCACTCCCCAGCCCCGTCCCTCGTGGAAGATGCACGGGCAGCAGCTGTGGGACTCCGGTTTCTGCCCGGGCCCGGGAACAGCTACAGGGGGTCCCGGGGGCCGCTTGGAACTCACCTGCGTCCGCGCTCGGGCTCTGTTCCAGCGCCGCGCTCTGGGGCCGCTCGGGCTCCGCGGGGCAGGCCGCCGCCTCGGCCGGGGCGCACAACTGCTCGGGGCTGCGGGCCCCGCCGCTGGGGCCGGCGGGAGGGGCGCGCGCGCTCGGGGGCAGGGGCTTCCTCTCCAGGACGGTCCGCGGCTCGTCCGCCGGCGCGAACACCAGGCGCTGCGGCGGCCGCGGCGGCGGCGGCTGGTCCCCGGGCCGGACCGGGGCGCGCGTGGAGTCCCGGGGGCCGCCGTCGGCGCTCAGCAGCGAGGAGCGCAGGCCGGCCACGAAGCGCTCGAAGGTCAGGTAGCCGCTGGCCGGGGCCACCCGGCGCAGGCCCTCGAGCACGCCGCGGGGCAGCTCGCGCGCGTCGGCGCCCTGCCAGCGGGACTCGATCTCGCGCAGGTGCACGCAGCCGCGCCGCCGGTCGTCTAGGATGTCGAACAGGGTGCGCAGGCTCTGCAGGAAGGCGCGCGGGAGCCCCTCGGTGCTGGGCGCGGGCGCGGGCGCGCAGGGACGCACGCGGCCCTGCTCGGCCGTGGCGGCCCCGGCCATGGGTTCGAGCCCCGCGTCCACCCGCGTGCGTCCCCGCGCGGCCCCACTGCGGGGCCGGCCCGGCGCGCTCAGCCCGCGGCGACAATAGCACCACTTTTGAACCGGGCCCTCCTCGCCGCGCCGGCCCTCATTAGCATGCGCGGCGGCCATTGGCCGAGGCCGTCCCGTCTGCTCCCCGATTGGCTGCGACGCAGTTTGATTTTTTTTTTTTTTTTTTTTTTTCCCGCAGAGGGGCCCTGGGAGGCGCGCGGAGGCCCCGGGCAGGCGGAACCGGATCCTCGGGCTCCCGCTCCGTCCGGGCCCTGCGGCCTCCGTTTCTGCCCCGCCCCAGCCCCACCAGCCCTCCTGGCGCGGCTCAGCCTTTTCTCCGATCCAACTTTGCTGGCTGCCCCGCCACCTCTCCAAGGGGCGGGGCCTTTGACCCCACAAAAAGACCTGTCCCCAGGAGCCTCGTGGGGTAAGGACGGGGGCGCATCCCCTCCAAAGGTCCCACGTTCCCCCTCTAGCTCCCGGGCCACAAGCACTGGCGACCCTGCGCCCCGCTTCTCTTCCACCAGGAGGGCCCCAGGAGGATCGTAGGCTCCAGCCAGCTGGGCGCTTCCTGCTCACAGAGGCCTCTCTGTCCCCACCGCTGCTAGCTCCTCCTCTGGCCCCTCGGGACAGTCTGGCCTGGCCTGCCCGCTGCAGGACAAAGCCACTTTCTCCTGTGTCCCCAGATCCCCATCTGGTGGCCAGCTCCCCAGCCTCCAGTTCTCCTCTGCTCCTTCCCCTGGCTGAGTACCTCCTCCAGCTGCTCTCCCGGCTCCCACAGCCCTGTCCCTCTGCCTCTGCTGTGTTTCCAGCTGGGATCTGGTCACATCTGTCTCCATGTCAGTCCACATGGGAGGTGAAAGCAGGCCTTACCCAGCGTTCTAGCTCTAGGTGCCAGGGAGGTGTTCAGAATGGAAACACCCTCTCCGGACAGGCCCCCAACCTGGGACTTGCCTTGGCCCTCTGTGGGTCTCCCTCCCTCCCTCCTGGGCAGGCCTCAGCTGGCGTGCCTACCTGAGCCACAGGTGCCTGTGTCTCAAGCCTTAGGAGCAGTTTCCCAGGCCAGGGAGCATCCTGGGTCCACATTTCCTCTGGGTCACTCACTCTAAGTGGGACTCCTTCATGGTAAGGAATGTTGGAAGGACATAAGAAGCTCTGAGCCTGGGGTAACTGATCAGAGCTCGGTCCTGGAAGCCGCCAGCTTCCCCTTGAATGGCAGGTCTGCTCAAAAACCCAGCACAAGGCCAGGGCAGGAGGATCACTTGAGCCCAACAGTTCAAGACCAGCCTGGGCAACACAGGGCAACCCTGTTTCTGCAAAAAATTTTAAAAAGTAGCCAGGTGCGGTGGTGCATGCCTGTGGTTCCGGCTACTTGGGAGGCCGAGGTGGGAGGATCCCTTGAACCCAGGAGGTCAGGTCGAGGCTGCAGTGAGCTGTGCTTGAGCCCCTGCTCTCCATCCTGGGTGACAGAGTGAGACCTTGTCTCTGCAACAAAACGAAACAAGCCAGCACAAGACACAGCCCTTTGTTCTGCAGCTGCGTCCCTGCAGCTCCCAGCACAGCCCTCACCACCGGTGCCAGGTCTGCGGTCCCTGCACCCCCTCACCTCCATGCCCCTGCACCTGGCGGCTTTTCTCTCTGGAAGGCCCTTCCCCTCTGCTCTGGCTGACTGCACCACGTCCTTCACAGTTCTGCTGCGGCCCCGATCCCCTTTGCCCCGAAGCCTGGTTGGATGCCCCAACCTTCAGAGCACTGGGCGGCTTTCTCCTGGTTCAGAGGGCTGTCTCCCCTGGCTATTTGGAAGCAGGGCAGGGCTCCCCCTAGGCCTGGCATTGGCCTGGCCCACAGTGGGTGCTCTGTGGACGGCACCGGGGAGCCTTATCCAGTGAAGTCACATGGGAAATACTGTCCTTGAGTGGGCACCAAGACAGGCTGAGGCCTACGGGAGGGGGAAGGCCTGGGAACAGCTCAGTAGCATGGCGGTGGAGGCCCACAGTGAGGAAGGCGCTGCAGCCCAGGACAGCATGGCCAGCAGTGTCCAGGCCAGGCCAGCCGCGGCCCCAGATGGAACTGAACCCACCCTACAGAACTGATCTTCAGCCACCACAAACTACTGGAGTAGAACACGCCATTCATTCATTATTGTTTTGTGCAGACAAAACAGGGCTTTCACATCATCCAGAGCCTTGGGGGAGGCAGCCCTAGCTGGTCCTTCCTTGGTCTGTGGGTTTCCCTGCACTCCCAGCTGAGTGTTGGAGGGACACATAGAAAAGACTGGAGGCTGAGGCAGGGGGATCAGCTGAGGTCAGGAGTTCGAGACCAGCCTGATCAACATAGAGAAACGCTCTCTCTACTAAAACTGTAAAATTAGCCAGGCGTGGTGGTGCATGCCTGTAATCCCAGCTACTATGGAGGCCGAGGCAGAAGAATTGCTTGAACCCAGGAAGTGGTGGTTGTGGTGAGCCGAGATCACGCCGTTGCACTCCAGCCTGGGTGACAAGAGTGAAACTTCATCTCAAAAAAGAAAGACTGGAGGCTATGCCTGGCGTTGGGGGTGAGGCTGAGATGTGGCCCTGCCTCCTTCCTGTCCTGAGCTCTGACCACTTCCTCCTGGCACTCCGCTTTCCAGCCTGGCCCCATATTGTCCCAGCCCTGCAGCTTATTGGGTTGCTGTCACTCCTGGGGTCCCATGCAGTCCCTGTACTTTTGGAGGCCCCATCCCAGCTGTAATTGTGTTCTCACTGTGCCAGCCTGGACCACTCTGGGCAGAGTGGCAGGAAGACTGGCCCCTGAACCCCTGAAATACCCCCAGCACTGGGCACGAAGTGAAGAACTGGCAATAGCTGCCCTGCACCTGGGCCTCCCAGGGCTCCCCGTCTGCACTCCTGGCCTCTAAGCCCCTTGGGAAGACAACTGCCTGGCCACAAGGTGGTCCAGGAGGCTGCCGCCCACCTCAGCCTTGCTGGCACTCCCACCCGTCTGCACGCTCCGTCTGCCTGGGTAAGGTCGCTCCGCCCCTTCTGGCAACGCAATGCCTGCAGCTGCACAAACCTTGATTTTCCAAACTGTCTGTTATAGCCCAACCCACACCTTGAGGTGGGATTTGAATCACCTGACCCAGAGGGCCCAGGGTTCACATCCTGACACCGGCCTCCAAGAGACCAGTGCCTCCTCTGCTGCCCAGCCCTGCAGGGGCAATAAGCATTCCCTTGCACTCTGGCCTGGGCGTGGAGCCCGCTCTGCTCACCTGATTCCAGGCGTGCCATGCCTACCCCCCAAGTCCAACGTCCACCTGCTGATCTTCGCCCACCACAGACAACCGGAGTAGAACAGACCGTTCCTTCCTTTCTTCATTCATTCATTCAGCAGGTACTCCCTGAACATTTGCTGTTGCCCAGTCACAGTACAGGCTTGCCTTCAACGCTCGTTTGCTCAGTCAACAAACTTTGACTGAGTGTTGACTGTGTGCTGCATTGATCTGAAGTGATGGGGGCAGAGCAATGGCTTAAACAATGCCCTGCCTCAGCCGGGCGCGGTGGCTCACACCTGTAATTCCAGCACTTTGGGAGGCCGAGGTGGGCGAATCACAGGGTCAGGAGTTTGAGACCAGCCTGGCCAACATAGTGAAACCCTGTCTCTACTGACAACACAAAAAATTAGCTGGGCCTGGTGGCCAGTGCCTGTAATCCCAGCTACTCAGGAGGCTGAGGCAGGAGAATCACTTGAACCTGGGAGGTGGAGGTTGCAATGAGCAGAGATCCTGCCACTACACTCCAGCCTGGTGACAGAGTGAGACTCCATCTCAAAAAAAAAAACCAAACAACACCCACCCTGCCTTCATGAGTTCACTTCTCATGGGGGCATTAGGCAGCAGAAAATGCAGAAAGGCAGCCTGCCAGGGAGGACAGAAGGGTGCTCGCTCATCGGGCACAGCCTGGGCAGCTGAGGCCTGACGAAGCAGGCATCCAGCCAGGTGTTTCTCTGAGGACAAGCGGTCCACGAGGGAGGAATAGGAAGCACAGAGACCCTGAGGCAGGCCCAAGCCCACGCTGGGAAAAGCAACTCCATGCAGGTCCAGGAGAATGCATTTGGGTCTTGCTCCAGTGAAGCCCCCTTCCTAACCCAGTGAGGGCATGTGTGTGGGCATAGGGGCAGAACCCGCCTGCCAGGAGATGCACTGCCTGAGGGGTCAGTCGGGACACACGGGGGAGATGTGAGTTTTAATTTGGGTCCCAGATCACCGTCAGCGGTGTGTGAACCACAGCAGCTCCATCTTGAATGGGAGCTGGGTAAAGCAAGGCTGAGACCTGCTGGGCGACATTCCCAGATGGTGAAGGCATCCTAAGTCACAGGATGAGGCCGGAGGACGGCAGAAAATACAGGTCGTAAAGACCTTGCTGATGAAAGTTTGCGGTAAAGAAGCCGACCAAATGCCACCAAAGCCAGCATGGCGTCGGCAGTGACCTCTGGTCGTCCTCACTGCCACACCCCACCAGCGCAATGACAGTTTACAGATGCCATGGCCAGGCCAGGAAGTCACCCTCTGCGGTCTGCAAAGCAGAGGCATGACTAATCCACCCTCGTTTAGCACATCAGCAAAAAAACATAAAAATGGGCAACCAGCAGCCTATACAGTAGCCATTCTTTATTCTTTTACCTTCCTAATAACTTGTCTTGACTTTTCTCTGTGGGCTTGCCCTGAATTCTTTCTTGGGTGAGATCCAAGAACCCCCTCTTGGGGTCTGGATTGGGACCCCTTTCCTTTAACAGCACGATTTGTATGTACATATATTTTGAGAAAGAGCTTTGCTCTTGTTGCTCAGGCTGGAGTGCAATGGTCCACTCACCGCAAATTCCGCCTCCGGGTTTTAAGTAATTCTCCTGCCTCAGCCTCTCGAGTATCTGGATTACAGGCACGCGCTACCATGCCCAGCTAATTCTGTATTTTTAGTAGAGACGGGGTTTCCCCATGCTGGTCTCCAACTCCCAACCTCAGGTGATCACCCACCTCAGCCTCCCAACATGCTGGGATTACAGGCGTGAGCCACTGTGCCCTGCCTTCGTTTTTCCTTTTAGACAGAGTTTCGCTCTGTCACCCAGTCTGGAGTGCGATGGCGCCATCGCAGCTCACCATAACCTCTGCC